GGAGCACCTCCCGGACGCCCCGGCCCCGGCATCCAGGACAAAGCCATGAAGCCGGCGCTGCTGGAAGTGATGAGGATGAACCGAATTTGCCGGATGGTGCTGGCCACTTGCTTGGGATCCTTTATCCTGGTCATCTTCTATTTCCAAAGTATGTTGCACCCAGGTAGGGGGCGCGTTAGCGTGGTTTTGTTGGATACGTATTTTCTTCGCTCTCGCCCTCTCGCTCCCAAGCTCTGCCGGGCTCCTGCCTTTTCCAGCCTCACCTCTTCGTCGCCGGCCACCTCCGGGCTCGCGGCCGCCGGTGGCTGCCCGGGTCACCGCGCCGGGAGCGGAGGAGAATTCTTGTGCGCCCTCTTCCTCCTGGTCCTGGACTGGAGGATGAGACCAGGAGGGGCGGCATTTCTCCCCTTTCCTTCTCCTTTGTGTCTCTCGTCTGTCTGTCTGCGAGGTAGCAGGGAAAGGTAGAGGTTTCAAGAAGCTGCCAGGGTTGGGGGGTTGGTTTGAAGAAATGGAAACTCCCTCTCTGTCCCTGCCACGGTCTGGGGATGAAAGAGGCGCCGGGCGCCGGCTGCCCTACGCCTGGGCATGCTGCCTCTTCCTGGTTGGGGACCGGGCACCAACGGTGCACGCCCCAGCGATGTGGCGAGTCCCTGCAGCGGGCTGGGAACCCGAGGGCTCGACTCCCACGTGTCCGGGGCTCGGCGCAGCGCAGAGCAGGTGTGGGGAGGGCTTGGGTGCCTTGCTCTGCTCTTCCACCAGCGTGGGGACGGAGCCTGCCGGCAGTGTTTGCCCCCGGGATCCAGCCTCGTGGTGACCTTGGGGATGGGGCCCATGGAGCCTGCTCCACCCCCACCTCCCCGGGGACCCTGCGCTAGGGGACTCAGAGTTGGGGGGGGGGGGGCGCCATGGCCCCTGCAATTTTTGAGATAACTTTGGCTGGGTCTGGCCTGGCCGTCAGGTGGCGAAGCCCCCACTTCTGCGTTCAGGAGCAGCCAGAGACACCCCTGCCCCAGCCCCTTCCCGGCCTTCCCCGAGAGCCTGTCCGAGACCCTTCCCCGCATTCCCTCTTGGTATTGGCAAGCTCCCAATCAGAATCCGGGTTGAGGGACAGTCTAGATCCCCCCTTCCCAGGAGCTGGAAGTTAAGTTTGGGATCTGGGGCGGGAGGGGAGACCACGCGCGCCCATCTGCTAGGGGTTCGCAGCCCAACTTGGAAACCCAACAGGTAGAACCCGCAGAGGTGGCTTCTTAGGTCATGGGAGTCTCCCAGACTGACCCCCCCATCCCCACAGCAGCCTCTCACGAGGCCACTGTGGCCGGGAAATCCCATTTCTGCGCCTTCTAGTTGCCTTTCGCAGTGTACTCCCAGTAATAATTTGCTTTCCTAATTGCAAGGAGGAGGGAGCTAGAAACACATTTCCCTCCAAGGAAATAATGGGGCTTGGGGTTTTTAATCCCCCCCCCCCTTCTCTCTTCAGTATGTACCTAACTTGAGCAGATGCAGCCCGGATTCATCAAGGCTGTGTTGGGGTCTGTTGGAGAGGACTAAAGCAGTTCTCTCCATCAAAAACGCAAAGGCCCGTAACTGCGAGATTCCTTGACAGCGCAGTGACAGGAATGGCCCCTGTGTGCGGCTTGTTCAGCAACAGTTGTTCAGGCAGCCACGCTGCCTAGGATCTGGTCTGCCACCACCACATATAACCTCAGGACACCGGAGCCAGTCCTGTAAAAGATGGCTTTTGTTTGCAGCGGGGTATTTTTAGTTTAATGGCAGCAAACTGCAGGCGTGTATGTCTCCTCACCCAAACCAGTGGTTGTGAAACTTCCAAGGGAATTTAAAAATGGTCCTCAGTTAGGCAGTGGTTGCAGCTGGCAGGATCAGACGGATGGGTGGGGTGGGGTCGGGGGCATCTCAGGGTGCCATGCTCCTGGGGCCCCCTGGAGAACAGGGTGGGCTGCCCTCTCTTTCCCCAATCCCTGGCTCCCCGTCCACCACCACCCATTCCCAGGGCTGGGATACTGCGTGGTGGGCAGATAAGTTGTGGCTCAAACAGCTTGAATAAAGAGGTCTGTTTTACACACTGCCATTCTGACTCACAGTGACCCCACAGGACAGGGTGGAAACTGCCCCCTGTGGGTTTCGGAGACTGTAACTCTTTATGGGAATACAAATCCTTTCTCCTGAGCGGTAGGTTTAGGCCTCTGAAAGTTTTACCGGGACCGCCCAGGCCAGCAAGGAGGCATTTCTGCAGAACCGCGCCGAGTAGCAAGCTCCATCCAGCAGGGTGGCACTTGTACATCTTGGTGTCTGTCAGTTGTGCAGCGGAGAAGGCTTTCTGAAAGGGAGCCGGAGCTGGTCGGAATCAACAACAGGCAGTGAGTTGGGTTTGGGTTGGGGTGCTTGTTATTCTGGAGAGAAGGTGGAACTACTTGTAGCTTCGCAGCCAAACTGCTGGGAAGAAAACTTTGAACTTGTAACTGGCCCTTGGCTAAAATTTCCTTGTCTGACGAGAATGCCCTGCTGACTAGAAAGAGCCTTTTGCTCACGTGGGTCCAGGCTTGGGGACTCGGCGATGCTGTTGCCCAGCATGTTCTAAGGTCGCCCGGGAGGACTTCTCTGTCCATGGCCTGCTTTCAGCCTTCGCTTGCCCTTGGGGCCCTCTGCATTTACAAGCCTGCTTTCCTCCCAGGAAATGGCATTTGTTTATTATTCGCGGCCCTGAGTATGCTCTTCTGATAGATATTTTTTCCCGGCCCATAGCAAGTGTTCCTTTCAATACTTCCCTATTGAATGTGTTAACTGCAGAGAATCTCTTTGGACCCAGCCTTGGCGAACCCATTCGAGTACCTCCCCACTCTATAGGACAGAGGAGAACTGGGTTTCCAAGTCTCAGCTCTAGGGAAGCAGACAGCCATCTCTCTTTGCCTCGCAGCAGCTGTCGGTGGATTCGAACCACTGGCCTTACTGTTAGCAGCGGTGGCCTTCGCCACCATACCACCAAGGCTCTTTACTTTCATCGAGAGGTCTTCTTTCCTTCCTCCCTCCGAATGCCATATTGTTTTGTGACTTCTCCATCACCATCTGTCTGTGATTACCTGGGACATAGAAATTATGCCGAGTCCCTATGAACACTTTTTTTTTTTCTTCATTCAAATGTACCACTGATAGAGGTGAAATCCTTTTCAGCTGCTTTGAACTTCTTCCTTGAAAAGTTCCACAACCTTTGCTTCACAGAAGGCTCTCCCAGCAGCTGGTGTTTTAGCCTGGCCCTGCAGTTTCAGTTTCGGTCCTCTTGGGAGACGCAGATGGGGCCGGAGCCTGGCAAGGATGATGTTGCTGAAAATTGGTAGCCCTTAGGCAGGCGTTCCACTTATCTATGTCTGAAGTAGAAAAAGAGTGCTTCAGGAGAGATGATTCCCGGTCCCAGTGGCGGGTAGAGATCACGCGAGTGGTGTGAGGAGGGAGAGGAAGAATAAAATGGGACAGCTGGCAGGGGGCTGGCAGGGCTCCCTTTGATTCTAATCTAGGGTCCATTGTCTTTTGGGCTTTTCTAATTTATAAGTTTCAGGAATTGATCTTCCATGGGTGCGTGGGTTTAGCAGAAGTGGGCTTTGTCTGTGTAAGTGTGTCTTTGACATTCTGAGTTACTGGTCTTCGTTAAGAATTTTTCTTTGTTGAAGGGCAGGGACCAAACCAGCTGCCGTGGAGTGGAGTTGATTCCGACCCCTGGCAATCCCGTGAGCATCAGAGCAGAACTGTGCTCCCTTGGGGTTTCAACGGGTGATCTGTTGGAAGTGGACTGCCAGGCCTTTTGCCTGAGGTGCCTCGAGGTGGGTTCAGACTGTCAACCTTTTGGTTTGTAACCATGTGTACCACCCTGTAAGTCCCCACCTGTAAGTAGGTGCTCAGGAAAATATTGGTTGGATGACAAAGTGGCTAGATTCTAGAAGGCCAGCTTCTCCAGTTTCTAGGAAGACCGCTCCACACCTTGCCAAGAATGCATGCTAAAAGAGTGTGTCTCTGATCTGTGGGAACCTGGGCAGACAGAAGTGACGGTGACCTAGATTTGCTGTCCCCTGAAATGTCAGGTGGAGGACCCAGTGCCCTGGGTGCTGGGTTAGGCTGTTCTCCTGAAGTCAGAATGGAACCGGGGGTCTGGTTTCTGCACGTGTCTGAATTCATCAGCGATGATCCAGCTCCTGGAAGTGCATCCTGTATAAAGATGGCTCACTCTCATGCCTCCACGGTTGGGCTTTGATGGAGCTGTGCTAAAGAGGCCCCCAGGCAGCTTTGTGCCCAGGTGTGAAGACCGCCAACCCTCCTTTGGTGTCCTTCCCTAGGATTGTGGTTTCTGTTTGAAAGCTACTATTCATACAAGAGAAGCCGGTGGAGGAGAGAACCTGCTCTCTCTCTTGCATTATGTTCAGCTCCAGTGCTACCTGGCATTTCTTTGCCTTGGTTGACTAGATTGAAAGATTATACTTTAATGCAGAGACCTCTTGGGTTACCGCTTTGTAGTCTTATTTGATTAGGTTGAATATCCAAGGCATTTTGTATTATCATTTTACTGTGAATAGAAACATACTGTGTGCTCATTGTAGAAAATGTAGGACGTACAGAAGCAAACCATCGTCCACGATTCCACCCGGAGGCAATGGGCACGTTCCCCCTCTGTTGCAGTTGAATCTATTTTGAGTTAGGGCTGTGCCCTTTACTCTCTTCAGGGAGGGCTGGATTCTCAGATGTCACGATCAGACTTGTCTTTGGAACAACTGGAGCCACCCTCCTTTCCATTACCGGCTAATTGTGTTAACGCGTTGTCACCCAGGGACGCCCTCTGTCTTATCATTCTTTAGCCATATTTTCAGGTGGGATCAGCCCTTGCAGAAAGGCATCGTGCTAGGTAGAAGGGCAGCGAACGAGAGGAAGCCGTTCGACGAGACTGATGACAGCGGCTGCAGCAGGGAGCTCAAATAGAGCAAGGACTATGCGGAGGGCCAGGGCAGGGCAGCAGCGTGCCGTACGGATGTTACTGGGAGTCACGGACTCCACGGAATCTGGCAACCACCATGGACATGTTAGGGAAAGAGTCATTGAGGGCACACCATGCATTTTATAACTGTGCTTGAGAATATGTGTTTTAAGCCAGGACAAGGGGGTTTC